TTTGGCGGTAAGAAGTAAACTCTTACATTAGTTTAAATTTGTTGATTCAGAAATAGAATGAGTGGGAGCATTGTGACAATAAGCGCGTTCAAATTATTAATAATTGATTGTGACACACTGAATTTCTTAATTTGGTAATGATTACCTCAGATCATGATCGTCAGCCGTTATAGACAACATATAAAACATAAGAGAGAATTTTCAGAGGCTGGCCGTTATACACTATAAGAAATTTAATTAAGAGAACCGTTATAGAGTAAGGTTTTTATATAGTAAAAATTTGGTTTCTTATTTACAGTGCGTTATAGAATGGGGGCCGTTATAGAGAGAGTGAACTGTATATTAATATTAATTATATTATTACTATTAAGAAATAATTAACCAATAAATGTTCAATATTTTTGTGATACTTGTTGCTTACTCCCTTGTAACACAAATATGAATGTCCTCCAAAATGTTTATTTGTCCAATTAAAAAATCGCGTAATGTGATACAAAGAGAATTGATAAAATTTTTTTAAAACTGAACTGAGAATGACGAAGTGAGTATTTTTAGAAGGGAAGGTAATTTTGAAAACAAAAAATGTCAATTATTTGATCATTTTGGTTTCTTATATTTAAAAAAATAGCATTAATAACTCTCCTGATGATGAATTAAGAATATATTATCATAGATTGTTTCCATACAACCAAATTTTTAATTGGTTAAATTATGGAACAGGTATCAATTTTATTTATAAATAATGGTTTATGATGATTATTATTATTTTATTATTATTAATATTTTTTTAGATGTTGGGAAATCATTTTATAATCGAGAGTTTAGTTTTATATTAAATGGAGATATATATTCAAGATATAATTCATATAATAACATTGAGGCATTAAAAAAGGATATTATAAATAAATGTCCTAAAAAAATAGACATTGGAGCAATATACACTGCGAGGGTAAATAATATTTTGATTGATAATTGGAAGATGTGAGAGGGGATCAATGATTAACTATTGATCATTTTAAAATAAAGCCAGCAGATAAGAGATCCCTTAAACCATCAGCATTTAAGCCAGTTGAAAAGGAATTGGTATTTGATATTGATATGACAGATTATGATGAGATTAGAACATGTTGCAGGTATACATGTGCACATATATATTTTATATACATATACATATTTATTTAAATATTAATTAATTTTAATTAAAGTGGTGGTGACATTTGTTTAAAATGTTGGAAATTTATGACAATTGCAATCAAGATAATTGATGTTGCATTAAGAGGTTAATCAATCAAACAATTACTACATGATTATATAATTAAGAGCTTCTTGTTTTATTCATAGCACACATAATTCACACAACTGTAATTTTCATATTTTGTTATTTAGATGATTTTGGATTTAACCATTTATTGTGGGTATATTCAGGTAGACGTGGTGTTCATTGTTGGGTTTGTGATGAAATTGCCAGAAAATTAGATGACAGTGAGAGAAAGGCTATTGTATCATACTTGGAAGTTATTAAGGTTTGTTATATAGCATGAGAGTACAAAACTTTTTTGTCAATTATAAATCAATATGTTTGCATATACTGTATAGGGTGGCGCACAAGCACAGAAAAGAGTTAACCTTCATGGGCACTTGCATCCTTCCATAAGGTATTTTACTATAATTTAATATAGATAAAGATATACATAATATTCATATGTAATTTTTTTATGAACAACAAATAATTAGTCGATCTTTAAGTATAATAAACCAATATTTTGATGACTTAATATTGAAGGATCAAGATGTTTTGAAAGATGAAAATTGTTGGAATAAAGTATTAGGATGTATTCCTAATGAAGGTGAATATATTAATTAGCAACCATTGAGGATGAAAAGAAAATGAAAATACTTTGATATTAAAATTTTTTTGTTAAATATAGAAATAAAAAACACTTTAACAAAACATTGGTTGGAAAACCCATCACAAACATCTTCAGATAGGTGGAAAAATATAACAGATGAATTAAATAAAAAAAATTTACCAATGTGTAAAAATGAAATCATTCTTCAATATGCATATCCAAGGCTTGATAGAGCAGTATCAACAACAATTAATCACTTATTGAAAAGTCCATTTTGTATACATCCTGATACAGGTAAGATAGATAATTTATCATCATCATCATTATTATTACCATTACTAATTAATTAAGATGATATAAATATTTCATTTTATTAGGTAGAGTATGTGTTCCAATTTTACCAGAAACTTGTGATGATTTTGATCCATTAAGCTCACCAACAGTTAGACTGTTGATTGATGAATTGGAAAGAGCACATGCTATACATCCAGTTACAAAAGGTAATTAAATTAGAAATTATAAAGAAATAATATATTACATATTAATTTATTTTTTTTCCTTTTATTGAATTTTCAAAAGATTTTTATTCAAAAACATCTTTGAAATCTCATATAAAATATTTTAATGAATTTTTCAGACAACTTCCAAAAGAAGTTCATGGTAAGCAAAGTGGTAATGATAATAAATATTAAATCTTATTTCTATTTATATGGTTTTTGCTAATTACTTGTTATTTATTATTTTTTTGCATCAAGCAGCTTTTGAATTTTAATTTTTTTTATCAAATTAATTACATATAATATAACAAATCATTATTAATATCCCTATTTGCATAATATAATAAATCATTATTAATATCCCTATTTGCATAATAATAATGTTTGCACCATATATTGTGCAATGTTACACTGAAAATCACTTATATTCATATTTCCAGGGTTGGGAATTATACATGTAAAAAATTTTTAGTATAGTGCAAGTCACTTAGTCCCACAACTTTCTGTGCCATGCTTAGGGATGGGTTGGTTTTGCTAATAAACGGTTTGAACTCAGTTTTGAAACCAACTCCTGTTTTTTCTTTGGTTTGGTTTTTGGAACCATTCAAACCATTCAAACCAGTTACACATGATATGATCAAAATGTGACACAAATAGTTAAAAATATCATTAATTGCCGATCCGTGAATAAATGAGTGAATTTTGGATGGGATCAACGGGGCAAAAATGTCAAAAATTTGCTAATGGACAATGTTTAACAAACAATAAATTATTATATTTTTGTATTACAAATATCATCTTTTCCATATATGGATAGAATAAATCCCATATTATATTAATATTAAAAAACCAAAAGAATTTATAGTGTTCCTCAAAGACTTTTATATATTGGACATAGAGATTTGGGTGTCAGAAATATAGCAAATTCAAATACTGTAAATTATACCAACTTGAATAATGGTTCTTATACATACACTCTCTCTTGTTTTTATAAATAATACACAATAATGAAATATCCAAATGTATTTAATAAACCCGAGGATGAAAAAAAAAATTATTTTTATTATAAAAATTGGTGCATTGTAAATAGCACAAAATAGAGTTGCCTTTTGAACTTTCTCAGGAATTTAGAAAGGCAACTCCAGTACAAAGTATGAAATTTTATTTATTTTTTTTTTTTTTGACGTTTTGTCAAATGTTCATAATCACTATTAGAGTTATCAAAAATAGTTTTTTTACCTTTTTCATGTACATCAAATTCATTGTTATCACTTACCACTTCACTGTCTTTGTTCATGATTATTGTTTGTACTGATAGTTTTTTCATATTTGCTGCATTGTAAATGTTCAATGTTTAAAAGCGAAATAAGTAATTTAATTATTGTAAAATTACAAAGTTATCTTTTATTCACTTAAATTCATGTCCTTTTTATAAGAATACATAAGATTGATAATATAAATAATAATATAAATAAAATATAAACTAATATAAATAATAATATAAACATAATATAAATAATAATATAAATAAAATATAAACTTAATAAACTTATCAATCTATCCGGATGATTATTGGACATAGGTATAAATAGTAATAAGATAAATAATGTAATTAAAACAACGCGAATAATGATGTGTCACGTTATTAAATTGAATGTTACACATCCACGAAAGTAATTATATCGCGTTAAATTGTTACATGCATACTGTGTAATCCAATTTGCAACTGTTGGCACTTCAGGGATATCCTCAACTTGAATTTCACCTTCATCAGCTAAAATTTGAAGTTGGCTTATCATTTCCTTTGCTGTCATTGGATCAGTTATATTAATGTTACCTGCTAAGAAATATCCTTCAAGGTAAAATTTCACTTTCTTTTTCATATGCTTTCCTTTTCCTCTTATTCCATATTTTGTTTGCTTTTTAATGCCCATCCCTTTTTTAATTCAAATGATTCTTCAATATCTATATTAAAAACCATAGAAACAAAAATTTAAATAATCAATAGCAATAATAGCAATATAATTTTTTTTGGATATACCTAATGACTGAGTATTATTATTTGATTTATTTGATTCATCTTCTTTTATTTGTCTGGCTTATGTATGTATATAAATTGCAAATTAATAATATAAATATAATGTAATTCATATTTTCATTATATATATCTATTTATTTTTACCTTGAGCATGAGACAATGAAACATTCCATGAATTGTCAGGTACTGAATGAGAAGAAACCAAAGGTGTTGGCTTGTTTATAGTGGTTGTATTTTTTAATATCTCTGATGGTGAAAATTGTAAACATTCTCCAATATGTGGCAGACATTGAGCTTGTATATATCTAGAATAATCACCTGTTACTGGCCATTCAAAGTAAAATAAATTAGTAATACCATCAATGGTTTTTACCTTATTGTCCTCATGTGCTGGTTCTATGTGTGCAACAAAAGTTCCATTTAAACAAGATATTGCTGTTCCTATTTTTTCCCCTTCATCCAAATTATTTCCAACATGTATATATCTCTTGATGGCATGAGAGATCTATACAGGAAAATTTCCTGATTAATAAATATAAAAACATTTTGTATGTAATAGAATTTTTATAAAAATTTACCTGTGCATGATGGGAATCAACAGTTGATTTTGCCTCCCCAGGTTCAAAAAAATACCAACCACGAACTTCAATATTATACCATTGGTGCCAGTTGGAAATTATGGTTGTTAATTCTGAGTTATGGTAATGAGCACCATTGTCTGAAAATACTTCAATCCATTGTGGATGTGGATCTAAAGTTTCAAAAACAGCATCAAAAGAAGAAATTGTAAACCAAGCATCTTGCTTGGTATCAGTACTCCAATGGTCAAATGCTTGAACATTGATCTGGTTAGTATCAGATTTTGTGAAAACCAAAATTGTGTGTAATGTCCAACCATGTTTCCCAAAAAATTGTTCTTTGGTTTCTCTTGCACTTTTTGGTAAAATGCACATTTTATAATCACAAATTGTGATTGCCCCATTATTATTCAAATTTGCTAACCTAGATTTAAATTGACTATTTAAATATACCTTTCTTGCTTGATGAGCCAAAAAATAGTACAATTTGTCACGGCATTCTTCAATTGTTGATTTCTGTTCTTTAAACTTCTGATAAAATTTTGTATAACTATAAATAATTTATCACATGTAATACAACGTTCATTGTGCTGCTCATCACATTCACCAAATGCATAAAGCAAGCAATGATTTATTGTATCAACATGTGTTGTTGTACCATCAGCATTCATAGAAAGCTCTTCTTCAAAACCTCTTCTCAGATGAATTTTCAGTTTTTCTATATCTGTAATTAATTTATTCTAAAAACAGAATGTTTAAATTTATTATTTTTTATTATTTATAATATTTATAATTTAGTAAATGAAGATATAAATTACCTTTTCTTCATTATCCACAGCATTTAATTGAATAATGCTAGTAAGTGTATTGAATACTTCATAGAAATATTCATTGCAAATACTACATAAACCCTCAAGATCATTTCTGTAAACATATGGACCATTTGTTAAGCAGGCCATGAATGATGTATGTTTTATTCCACCAGGATAAGTAACCTCAAATTTTTTCCATAGTCCTTCCTTGTCATCATTCAAATAAAGGATCGGAAGGTTTGTCTTGGAATCAATTTTATATGAGCTCATAGTGACATTGTCTTTATCTAAGAAAAAATTTTCAAATTCCTGATTTTTTATTTCTGAAATTCTATTTTGAGTAATTGTAGGTTTTCTTGCAGCAATACATCCAGGTCCATTAATTCACAAATACATTTTTGCTGCATTTATTAAATTATTTGAAATCTACATAGAAAAAATTTTCATGAAAATTTGATCATTGTGTAAAATGAATTTTTAAATAAAAATTACCTTCAAATTATCTTGTAATTTATGATATGTAAAATGGTCAGCAATTACTGATAATATTCTTTGTTTATTATCCAATCCACAATTGTTCATTTGAATTGAAATATTAAAACAATTCCAAAATTTATCAACTTTATTTTGGAGTTTGTGGTTCTTTTCAGATAATTCCACAATTGGTTTATTGTATGTAACACCACTTAGAAGGTTATTTTTATATAAATAAAGCATCAAGCATGATAATTTGATGCATCCTCTACATATGTCCAGAATTCAAGCTATTTGGCAGTTGTCCTCCCCATGTAAAGAGAAAACAACAAAACTATTTAAAAAATATTTATAATCCATTCACGTCAAATTAAATGATACCATGCACATACACAACTTCAAATAACAGATATTCTACAGCGACCGAGGTGACAAATTCATTAGCAATATTCTTAGGCGAGCTTTTTTGTAGGGACAGGTCTTGCACAGATTATTTGTAGTGAAATCAAGTGGTCGTATGCCAAATCTGTGAAGAGTAAAATTCCAAGATAATTTATTAAAATTTGAGCAGCAAAATAACAAACTCATCATCATCAAAGTCAGTCATTGTCGTCACAAAAAAATTGTTAAAAAAATCACTTTGTTCTTTTTCAAGTGTGATATTTACTTATACACATACCTTGAAATTAGGGAAGAAATATATTTTTAAAGAATAAAAAGAACAAATAAAAATTGTGGGAAAAAAAGAGATCAATAGACAAAGATAACGAATTCATATTTTTTCACATCAATATGACCAATGTTTTTTCAAAGTATTTTTTATTTCTATATTTAACAAAAAAATTTTAATATCAAGTATTTTCTTTTTCTTTTCCCCTCCTTCACCCTCAATGGTTGTTAATTAATATATTTACCCTCATTAGGAACACATCCTAATACTTTATTCCAACAATTTTCATCTTTCAAAACATCTTGATCCTTCAATATTAAGTCATTAAAGTATTGGTTTATTATCGACTAATTATTTGTTCATAAAAAAGTTACATATGAATATTACGTATATATTAAATTATAATAAAATACCTTATGAAAGGATGAAAATGCCCACCAAGGTCAACTCTTTCTGTGCTTGTGCACCACCCTATACAGTACATGCAAACATACATATTGATTTATAATTGACAAAAAAGAATTTGTATTCTCGTGCTATATAACAAACTAATTTGTATTCTCATGCTATATAACAAACCTCAATAGCTTCCAAGTATGATACAATAGCCTTTCTCTTATTGTTATTTTATTTTCTGGCTGAAGAATTTCTACCTGAATATACCCACAATAAATATCTCGACATTAATAGATTTTTAGCAGAGTCTTAGAACTTATTATCCCGATTTTTAATCTTAATCGGAATTTTATTTTATTTTGTTATTATCATAATATAATTAAACAAGATTTTTTTAAAAATGTATTTTATTTCATTAATAGATTCTTATGCGTACATATTATTATATCCACCAAAGGTTGAGTTTTTACAAAGACAATGTTATTTATATGGGAGTAAAATTACTATATGGTTGATTGTTGATTAATATAAATAATCAAACAATTAATTTGATCAATTAATTGCATTTTATTTCTCTCTTCTTCTCCTCTTTCCTCTCATTTTCATTTTCCTCCTCTTTCTTATCGAAAATCTATGTAATTATTATAAATAATAAATAAATTATATTAAAAAATTTAATAATTTTTGTTTTATATATGAAATTTTTGGCTATAAAAGTTATAACATTTTTGTTGTCACCTTTACCCAGTTGCACTAGGTAGAATTTCAGCATGTTCATTCATTTATTATTTAATATTTACGTGAATTAATTTATAATTATTTTTATTAAATTATTCCTTTCTTACCAACAAGAGTTGATGGCGAAGCCTTGAATATGCATATTGAAGAATGATTTCATTTTCACACATTGGTAAATTTCCTTTATTTATGGTTAGATTTAATTCATCTG